CCCCAAAACCCCAAAACCCCAAAACCCCATGTTTAATTTTAATAAACGTTTTAGAAATAATAGATTCATTAATAATATTCATAACTTTTAGAAAATGTAAAGCCCAGCATAATCTTCTTAGAATAGTCTCTTTTAAAATTTAGACCCATAAGATTTAGTCTAATTCTAGCAGCCAGCTTCCTTTGTTACTTCAGGACCTCGAACAATGAAACCCATTTCAATTCCCTGCATTATATGTGGAAAGAATCTTAGCGGTATCAAAAGGTCTTAATTCATAGAGAGTAAATCATATGTTAGCTTAGGAGTCTAAGCTTACTATTTGACTCATGATAAACCCGGAGAAGCTAAGTGCTATTGTAAAGATTGCTTTGAGAATGCAATTAAAACAACCAAGACATATACTGATTCAAGAAAGAAATACAAGGATATAATAAATGATTTGAAAAGGAAATTGAGTTAAAGCAAGGAGGAAGAAAAAAGCAACAAAATTGGAATGCTGACAGATAATGAATTAAAAATAATTTCAAATTTTTAAGTCAGAGATCCTAATATCTAATAAACTTCATAGAAATATGGTTTTCTTCAGTAAATGGCTTCATCATTTGATACCTATAGCAATAATCTCTAAAAAGTCAAAGAATCAATAGAAAAGAATGGCTATAATTCCAGTTCAATGAAGTTAACAATGCATCCAGATTAAGCAATTAATGATATTTGCGCTAGAATTAGAAATGCAATGCACGTTGTATATGAATGGAATACAAGGGATTTTATAAAGTAAATTGAATTGATTAAGAGTGATTCTGATGAAAAATCAAAGCAAATTGACAAAGCAAAATAAGACATTTTAAAGATATTGTAGGCTACATAATTGGCTCAAACTGTTCGATAAGATCCAATTTTAGAATCTCTTGATTAAGATAAGAAAAAAAGTTAGGAATAGGGGATATTCTATGAGATGATGATTTAAAGTGTAAATGAAAATTTGGAGGACATTAAAAAGAAAATTGATCTAATTTAGTTTAAAATGTGATTAATTATGATTATTAAATTGTCTCACTAATAAATTTTTGATATAAATTTTATACTACTGGGGTTTTGGGGTTTTGGGG